ATTTATCATAAGCTTATCCTTACCAAAAAACCCTCTCATGTAGGCAGACTCTACGATATTCCTGTTATTCCCGTACCTGTGGTAAAATGGGATTTTAAGTGACAAGACCTAGGAAGACCACTGTAATCTTCCGGAGTCACGGTGCCCAGAGACCATGGGCAAAGTCTTAGTTATCCAGGTCAGGGGCAGAACACTGTCAGAGCCTAAACCTTAGGAAGAGGCAGACAACAAGGCCGCTGGCCAGGGACAGGAGTCACTTAGAGAATGCTAACTTCTATCCTGGGTCCCAGGTTGAGTAGCAAAGTCCTTGAATACACAGGCATATGGCTGTGGCAGGCGCTAGACAAAAACGTGTAGTTAACGTGTCCTGCCCTGAAGGAGGAACGAACTCGGACAGAAATACATTTTCAGGTTTAATTGTTTCAAGAATAGAAATAAGTTAGCCATGTGGTTTAAATCAATATGAAACAAATACCCTTTGTATTACATTCACAGTAAAAACAAAACAAAACCAAAAAACAAAGCTATTTTACTTTCTATAATAAAATAGACCAGGAGGAGATTACAAAAAAACTTTCCCAGTCAAAAATTAGTATTTATTTGGTTGGCATTAAATCCAAACTATCATAGCAACTAAATGCAAACACATAAATACCTTATTAAAACAACGTGTTAATGGGAAAATGCTGTGCTACTTTTGACAATGCTTTCACCTTTTTTTTAATAGTGCCAGCTGGGGAGGAAACCCAGGGCTTTGAGCATAACAGGTAAGTCTCTAGCACTGTGCCATGTCCCAACACCTGATAATGTTTTCACTTTTAGAGATGGTAAACACAATGTATTTGCTATAAGAAACATGAAGGGTGACTGGTGACTTGAATACAAGCAAGGAGCCATACCTGAGTAATGATGATAAGCTGCACTTCTTGTAGAACATGGGGAAAGTCGGTCCAAAGTCCCCTGCCTGGAAGGCAGGATCTAAAACAGAAGATTGTTTTCTTAAAACAGACTTTTGACAACGAGACTAGAAGACTACATAAACTAAGGAAAACATTACTAAACAGGATTATGATATACTCTGTAACCCACTATACTATGTATATATCTACTGTATTATAAATACAGTAGACAATTTGGTGAAATTATTCAGATTTAAGGGGAAATATGGGAAATAACTACCTGCTCTACAACTTACAGAATGTTCATTGGATGGCATAACTGCATTTACTATATTCTATCAGAAAATAAGCTGTAACATGTTACAGAAGCCGAGAATATCAACTTGGTTTTGATTCTTTTGACCACTTTACAGACTTGATAACAGGGATGCTGTTGCAATCTTAGCATGCACATAAAATAGAAACATATGCAAAACTCTCATGACTTGGGGGACCAGGATTTGAATTTGATCTCATTCAAATTACCAAGGGCTTTTCTACTGAGCAAGACTATTTTCTTTGTTTTAATTTAAAACATTACATTTATTTCTTGTACATCCCACGGCATAAGTGAAGAGGCAGAGGACAACTTGAAGGAGGCAGTTCTTTCCACTAGCAGGGCCATCAGGCTTGGCAGCAAGTGCCTGGATCTGCTGAGCCATCTCTCTGGCCCAAGGCTGCTTCCCAGCAGTGGTCCTGTTACTTTAGCATGCATACAAGTCAGCTAGGGATGCTTTTACAGTACAGCTCTGTTCCAGCGGTAGACACAAGACTCTGCATTGCCACCAGGCCCCCGGCAATGCACATGCTGCGTTCTGGGCCAGACCTTGAAACACTATGGATTACATACATCACAGCCAAGCTCTGTGATGGATGTGCTCTGAATGGCTGTGCACCCGCCCGCCTCAAGCTAATGCTTAGTGATTTTAAGACCTAGTTTAAAAGAACAGAGATCTATGTGTCAACAGTTTAATATCCAGAGGAACCATGAAGAGCTTTCTAAAAAATATTATTCTTAATTCATATATCATCTGTTTTGTTTTAACTTTCTTATCTTAAACCAAGCAGAAATTCAAACACTAAAATTATTTATTCTAAAAAGTTCACATGTTTGGATTTTTTTAGTGTGGCATTCAAACTGTATCAGATGAATATTTATAATGAACAAAACAATTAGTTTATTAAAGGGAAAAAATTATTCCTAACCTGCTGGTCAGAAAGTGAAAGCTGGTCCTCTGGAAAACATGACTGTGGCAGGAGATGAGTTTTGAAGGTGGAGTTGTGGTTCACTAAAGTCACTTCTCCAGCATCCATCTTCATCCCGTCAGCAGTATCGTCTAGGGAGAGTCCAGATTAGATCCAAGTCACACAACCTTCCAATAATAGTTTCCTACGAGTCAATCTTTTCACCTAATAAAAGTGATTCTCGCCGGGCGGTGGTAGCGCACGCCTTTAATCCCAGCACTCGGGAGGCAGAGCCAGGCGAATCTCTGTGAGTTCGAGGCCAGCCTGGGCTACCAAGTGAGCTCCAGGAAAGGCGCAAAGCTACACAGAGAAACCCTGTCTCAAAAAACCAAAAAAAAACAAAAAACCAAAAAAAAAAAACCAAAAAACTGTTCATACTGGTTCATTTCCTCTCCTCACTCAGAACAGTGCCTTAAACCTGAGCCAGGAGTCGGGAAGACGGCTCCGTGGGTAGGAGTGCTCACTGGACAAGTGGGAGACCTGTTTGAATCCCAGCCCCCATGTAAACTGTAGACCTGGCTGTGTCTGCCTGTAACCCCAGCACTGTGGGGTAGAAACAGGCAGATTCTGGGAGCACACTGACCAGTCATCGAACCTAGCCAAAACAGTAAGCTTCCAGGTCAGTGTTAGTCCGTCTTAACGGAATAAGACAGACAGGATATTCAAAATCCCCTTTGGGCAAGCATACCTACACATATATGTCATGTACCCTCCCCCCACATACCAGCCATTAAAAACTCAATCCACTTGATTTTGCTGTAAAATAAAGTAAATTTATTCATATGGCTCTTTGTATCATCTCATCTCAATGGCCACAGTACCATGGCAGAATCTGACTTCAGAAACATCTGTACCATAAAGAGCTGAGACAAGAGCTCAGTGACTCACACTGACAGCAGCCATGAGAAAGTGGAAACAGATGAGGAGAGGGAGAGGGAGGACCAAGAAAAGAAGAGAGTGCATGGGGGGGGGGAGGCATGGAGGAAAAGTAAAGAAAAGGTTAAGGTGAAGTTAAAGAAATCATGGATGCAGCCATTTCAACTTATTCCTAAACCAGCTGCTATTTCTGTACACCGAGCTCCTTTACAGATAAAATGCTGTGAATAGAATGGGGAAACGTTCTGATTGCAAAGTTTCTATATCACTAGCGACATCAACTATTTTCCTTCCTCAGATTCCTTATCCTACAGGAGGCAGTGAGCCCCAGTACTACAGAACAGGGCCTGAACTCTGCTGGATACAGTGTATGACTCCCAGCAGGTTTCCAAACCTGCATCTCACTCTCCGTATTGAAACACTGTTTTTACAATCCTGCATATTTTGTACACACTATTCGGTAATGAAATGAATTAACGTAAATTAAGTACTTGGAGTAGATACATAGCAGACATAATAAATACTGCTAGTGTGCATTTGTTTTTTCAATGAATAAGAAAATGATCTTAAATGATTCTGTAAGCAATGTATTAACAAAAGGAAAAGAATGCTGAGTATATGGTAGTATTTAATTAGGACTAAGATCTTGTAATATTATTACTATGCACAAAGACACAAACTTAGCAAATACTTGGAAAACTCGATCTTTCCCTCCAGCCTAACTAGTCAGTAACCAAGAGGGCTGAATGACCGCTTTAGTTAGTCTTACCCATTTCAGGTCTTTTTACATCACTGACTTTAGCAAAGATACAAAATCCTATAAAAGAAAACACAAAACATAAATATTACACCATGAAGCATCTAGTTCAAATATTATAACAGGAACTTACACAGATGTGACATTTATGTCATTAATGGAGAAAAATGGCAAAGGCTATTGATCTGTTGAGAAAAAAACTGAAAAATACAATCGGTCTGAGGTGTTTACAAACCCTGCTGCAAACTACTCTGCATTAGACAGCAGGTACAGACAGCCCGAGAACCACAGGTCATCAAAGCAGAAATCAAGAAGCCAACCCTCAGGAGACTGAACCATGTGGATAAAAATCAGACAGTTAGTGACTGCAATGAAATTACAACTAGGAATTCTTCCTACTCCACTGCTTTTCCTATTACCTCATAGTAAAACATTTTCTCAGCAAGTGACCGATTTTCTGACCCTAAGATTCTCTTCTGTAAATCGTGTTAGCGGACAACAAAATGACAAGAATTACTGAGTGCAGTCAAGGAACACTTTCAGTTGTACAAGGCACACTCCTCCTCTGCCACCCCCTCCAACATTATCCATCAAACCGCTGAAAACCAGGGTGGGAACACAGCTCGGTGGTGAACCCTTGCATAGCATATACAAGGTCCTTTATTCACTCCTAGTGCCAAACCAACCAACCAAACCAAATCAAACCAGCTTAAACCAAAGCTCCTCTATCTATACAGAGGTCCCCCTCACACAGGAGGTATGTTGCAAGGCTCCCGGTATATGTCTTGCTGGGAACAGGCAGAAGCACCTTGTCTTAAGTATTTTGCCTTCAGACTCCATTTTACCTGTAGGGTGAAATAAAGTTCAGGTCCCCAAGCCCAGGGGAGCTGGGAAACTTCCGATAGCTGACCCATCTCCTCCTTAAAGCACAGTTCTCTAGAAACATGGCTGTTCCCAACAACAGATAGGACAAATGAATCTGATTGGCTGTTCTGAAAGGCTTGCATTGTCTATCTGATGGAACATTCAGGAAGCCCCTAATCTTTGAATTCTGACTGGTGAAAATTATAACCTGGCAACAAATGTTTGTGATTTTTATGCTTAAATACTTGCTTCAACTGGCATTTGGGGTGGCAGTTCAGCCCCTCGGTCTGTTCTGCGGCCCTGACTGATTAGCCCCACCCCTTCCCCTCTTCTTTTGTGCGCCCTGCATGAAGTCTTGCTTTGTGGTAACTCCTTGTGTCTGCTTGTGTTGACTCCGAGCCTCGGAACACAACTGTCTGAAACAGCAAGTGGTACTGAACTGTGCACACACTTCCTATATACACCTGGGAAAGTTTAATTTAAATTAGAACAAGAGATTAACAACAGTAATAAAAACAGAACAGTTTGAGAGGCAGAGGCAGGCAGATCTCTGTGAGTTTGAGACCAGCCTGGTCTACAGAGTGAGTTCTAGGCCAGCTAGAGCCACACAGTGAAACACATACTCTGTGTGTATGTGTTCCTATATTGTCTGTCTCAAAATAGAGAATTTCCCGTTTATTTTCTAAATACGGTTGATTGTAGCTGCAACTGCAGAAAGTGAAGTTACAGATAATGAATTTTCCCAGAAAAGGGTTGGGGTAGTTAAGAGCCTAACTGCTCGGAGCTACTTAAATAACATAACCCACTTTCAGTGGCGTAGTTAAGACTGAGCACTTGATCATCAGGTCCACAGTCCTCCTGAATCCTCAAAGTAGTCAAGGGACTATGTGATGTCAACAGACTTTCTCAATGGTCCCAACGACAAAGAGCTTACAAGGAAGGCTGCCTCAGTGAGCAGAGTGCCTGGGCCTGCCAGGAAAGATTCCCCGGAAGGTTTAAAACTTAAGATTTAGGTTTCAACTATTTCTAAATGCTCAACGTAGCAAAAAGCTTCTCTTTAGAATTTCTGCAGGCTATCTTCCCCTTTTTATTTTAATAGGGTAGAATTCTTTTTTTTTTAAGATTATTTTATTTTATGTGTATGAATATTTGCCTGTGTACCATGTGCATGCCTAGAGCCTGTGGAGATCAGAAGAGGCCATCAGATCCCCCAGAACTGGAGTTATGCATACTTGTGAGCCACCATGTGGGTGGAGGGAGTTGATCCTAGGTCCTCTGGAAGAGCAGCCAGAGAGCTTAACCTCCTGCTATTCCTCCTGCCTTAGGGAAGAATTTTTTTAGGGTCCAGATTAATGTGGGGGGGAGGGGAATCCTACCAACCAAGGTCACCTTCTAATTGTGATTAGCCCACCCCACACACCTTTTTTAAAAAAGAATGCCAAGCCAGGTGGTGGGGGCCACACCTTTAATCCCAGCACTCAGGAGGCAGAGGCAGGTGGATCTCTGTGAGTTCGAGGCCAGCCTGGTCTACAGAGCGAGTTCCAGGACAGGCTCCAAAGCTACACAGAGAAACCCTGTCTAGCCAAAAAAAAAAAGAAAGAAAGAAAGTTCCAGGACAGCCAGAGCTGTTACATAGAGAAAATGAAGAGGAAGAAAGAAGAAGAAGGAAGGTGGAGGAGGAAGAGGAGGAGGAGAAGACAACCAATTTAAGAATAGGGTATCCAGACCTTAGAAGGCAGAAAGATTTCGAGTTTGCGGCCGCTCTGGAATATACAGCGAGATGCTCTCTCAAAAAGAAAGAAACAAACCCTCTGGTGTCCAGTAGAACTATCCCAGTTCATTTCCTTTTCATTTTGGAGATGTGCAGGGGGAAAACACTCTAGATATGAGTAATTCAGAAAAGTTCAGTGACTTGCATGAACTCACACAGATGGGGCAAGCGCACATCTGGAGCACAGCACAGCTTCAATCCTCAAACATCCCATTCAGAGACTCGGCTGGGCAACCGAAAAATAACCTCCAGCTAGCTTTGGGTACTCGATCATGGCTTCTATCTGTAGATGACTAAAGCTCCACATTTATACCTTAATACACATACACCTTGCTTCTGTGGTGTGCTGGTACCTTCATTCATAATGGTGTTGGAATAAGAGATTTAAAAAACAAACAGCGGCCAGGCAGTGGTGGCGCACGCCTTTAATCCCAGCACTCAGGGAGGCAGAGCCAGGCAGATCTCAGAGCTCCAGGCCAGCCTGGTCTACAAAGAGAGTTCCAGGAAATGCCCAAAGCTACACAGAGAAACCCTGTCTCAAAATTAAAAAAAAAAAAAAAAAAAAGATTCTGCATGAAGTCCTAGATAAGGAACCTTAGATGTCTTCAAATTCTAGCAAAGAAGACAATTTCTCCTTTTAAGAAAATCTTTCTTTCTTGCTGGGTAGTGGTGACACATACCTTTAATCTCAGCACTCAGGAGGCAGAGGCAGGCAGACTTCTGTAAGTTTGAAGCTATTCTGGTCTACAGAGTGAACTCCAGGATAGCCAAGACTACACAGAGAAACCCTATCTCGGGTAAAAGAAAAAGAAAATCGGCAGCGGGCGGCGGCGTTGGCAGAAGATGGAGGCGATGAAGAGAGCCCGCAGCTGCCGCGGCGACAGCGAAATGGCGGAGACCGAGATCACCAAGCCCAAGCCGCAGAACCTGAATGACGACGCCTACAGACCGCCCAGCAACTTCCTGGAGATCCACGTGAGCAACCCGTAGGCTGTGGGGGTGGGCCGGGGCCACCTCACAGGGTCAAGACAAATCTTCCTGTCTTCAAGCTGAAGGAATCTACTGTTAGAAGGAGATACAGTGACTTGGAATGGTCTCGAAGTGAACTAGAAAGAGAGAGCAAGGTGGTAGTTCCCCCGCTCCCTGAGATGGCAGCTTCCTTTTAGAGGAGATGATGGAATATTTGATGATAATTTCATCGAGGAAAGGAAGCAGGGCCTGGAACAGTTTATAAACAAGGTCGCTGGTCATCCTCTGGCCCAGAATGAGCGCTGTCTTCACATGTTTTTACAGGATGAAATAATAGATAAAAGTTATACTCCATCTAAAGTAAGACATGCCTGAGTTTGGACAGAAGAGGCAGAAACAAGACCATTAACGATTCATCCACACCAATGAAAAAGTTGTAACTAACTTAGCATGCTGCACAGACACTGGTCCACCTGCCTGGGTATACTAACACACACTCCCTGTCATTTCCCTTAGTTCATTTGCTTTAGTGGAACGCCCTCGTTGAGCCTCTCTGCTAGCTCTGCCCTGCCGTGTCCCTGTGCACACTGTAGCCTCACAAGCCCCTAGAACCCGAGTGCCTCACTAAAGTTGCTGACTTGGTCTTATCTGCAGGTTCTGTGTCTTGTTCCTTCTGGAATCCGACTGACTAGAACATCCCCCTACTGTGTGATGCCTCCACTCGGTCCTCATTTACGTGCAGGAGCACAGCGACCGTTTGTCTCCAGGGCCACACACACGAGGTGTGCTTTGTCTGCAGAGTGTGTCTTTCTTCGGGCCTGTAACCCCCTTCGCATGGAAGATTAATGAAGGAAATCTTTATATTCTGTATAAAAACAACATCAAATTTATATACTAAAATCATTTGTCTAAAAATTTAAGTTGTTTTCAAATAAAAGTTGAAATGCAAAAAGAAAAAGAAAATCATTCTAATAATTCATCCCTAGTATGCATCAGTCATTTAGTTTACAGAAAGAATATTAAGTAGCTAGTTATTAATGTGGAACACAAGTGAAAGAGAAACCTGGGGGGGGGGGAGGTGAAGTCTTGACTGCAACAGAATATAAAATGATAAACCAACTAAACTAACACCTTAAGCACCATGACATTCTACAGCTTTAAACAGTATTTAACTTCTTTCATACATATACTTTCTATACTAAGTGTGGAATGCTGGGATACAAATACAAGTAAGATCTGGTCTTTGCCACTTAGAAGTTCACAGGCAAGCCAAGTGTGATGCACACACCTTTAATCCCAGCACTCAGGAGGCAGGGGCAGGCGGATCTCTGTGAGTTCAAGGCCAGCCTGGTCTACAGAGTGAGTTTCAGGACAACCAGGACTGTTATCCAGAGAAACCCTGTCTCAAAAAAACAAAACAACAACAACAAAATTCACAGACCAGTAGAGGATGCCAGATGTGTTCCCAGATACAGCAAAGAAGTCAGTGAAAGAAAAGAAATTACATCACCTCAGCCACAAGTGGCAGAACCTGTTTGTATACTCATCCACTCCCTCTCTAGACTCAGTTCAACAGCTGAGTGACAGGATATCCCCGTTTGCAGTTGGGATAATTAACTGAATAAATCGGATAAAATGAACCAAGCTCTAAAAGGGAGGGGAGGGCAGGCAGTCTAACAGGAACGCTAAGGTTCATTCATTAAGTGTCACTGTAACCTCAAAGTCGGTGTGATCCACAATGTCAGCAAGAGTTCTGAACACAAATTATCTTCATGAAGAATACTTATGCATGTTCTACTTCATCCAGAATTTCCGATTCCAACGAAAACCTTAAGTCAAAGAGTTGGCAGACTATAAAAGACGACATACATTTTTACAAGAATCACCACCACTCCCAACACAATTAAGTATGCCACATGAACTACATAATTTTAACAAGTGTGAGTTTAAAGTGATAAAGGAGCAAGTTATTGCCAACAAGATAACAGAAAAACTGTCGAGGTACTGATAAAACAGAAATCACCAAGCTCAAGACCAGAGAAACCTAGCACATATCCAGAAAGATCACGTTAGGATATAAGAAGAAAAGGTTCGAGACAATTACCAAGATGAGATGAGCCAGGTAAGAAAACTGTGGCCGTTAAGGGGGGTTTCATAACCTGTGCAGAGGGGTCCAGACGCTTCTCTCTGGTGGTGGCACTAGCGGTATCACACCTCGGGGAAATATACCACAGGGTAAAAAGAGTTGGAGAACTGTTTGCGTGAGACACAGAAGTAGTCGAGAAGTATCAGTCGGGTCTCGGGGAAGAGGAGAGGTGAAGCAGGTGGGGATGGAAAGCGGAACTTCCTTGGTGAAAACAGCTCTCCCTGGGAGAGGACCCTGCTCTGGCGGGAAACTCCTGGACTCCCAACCGGCCTCTTCTCCGTGGACCAGGGGAGCCGGGCGCTGAGAAGGGCCTGCTGTGGCCTCTGGGCGGAGGGTCGGGAGCCAGAGGCCTGAAAGGGCGGCCTGGGCGAGCCCAGCTACCAGCCCCGGGCCAGACAGCCGCCCCCGGACAGCAGGGGGGAGTGGAGGTGGTCCCAGGGGGCGGGGCGGAAGAGAAAGCCCTGTCCCCACCGCGGTCCTCGCTTCCGCTCAGCCCAGCCGAGGCTGGCGGGCCCGGTCCGACACAGCCTCCCGGCCCAGTCTCCCTCCATCCTCACCCCTCCCCCAGTTTCCCGCCGCCACTCACCGAACCGGAACCGGCTGCTCGGCAAAGGAGTTTCCGGCCGGGCGCGGAACGCAAAGCCCGGGAACCTCCGTGAACCGGAACCGTCTTTATAGCACCGGAAGACGGCGAAGCAGCCGCCGAGGAGGGGAGGGGGTGGGGCAGGAGGTCAGAGAGCGGAGAGTTACGGGCTCGTGGGACGCCTGCGCGCGGTGGCCGGGCCTGAGGAGCCAAGGGAGCGTTTGAGTCTAGTCCTAATCGCCCCGTCACCCCAGACGCGGCCTTTTCTCTTTCTCACACTTGGAGTACAGTTAGTGCGTCCGCCGTCCTTCGCTTTTCTCTGTCCCTCGGCTCCCTTACCCGCTGTCTTCTGGTTCCGTTCGTTGATTTTTTTTTTTTTTTTTCCTCTTCATGCTCAGGTTTCCATGGTAGCTTTTCGCTGTGGTCCTGGATTTGTTCTCCCTTCCTTGACAAATGAGGATTTGAGATCTTAAGTCTGTTTCCAACTATATCTTCTGGAAATTAGTGTGCATCTTGTCTGATCACAGGAAGTGGGGCTGGGGAGAGACCAGAGACTGGGAAGAGAAACTTTGGGGACACCTAGGCTTAGACTCCGACAACACGCAGAACCTTACATAAGTGGAGGAATTTAAAACAGTGATTTCTAATGGGGCTCACCAGAGGTGTTAAACATGTAATCATGCCAGACTTTTTAAGAGAGAATAATGGAGAAGAAATAAGTTTGTTCATTCAGATTATTTACCAAGCTCCTTAATTTAGTAGGCCTGAGGCTCAGACGCCTTGAAGAGGTGCTTCAGAATAGGTATTCTAGACCCAGTTGATTGCCTGTCTGAATTCAGCCCTGAAGTAGGGAAAAGCTCTGGAACCTCCAGCCTTTCCCATACTCTCAGCCACTGGAAAAGGGAAGGAGGCGAACTTGCTTATTCAGGGATCCTGATTTGTATATATAAAAGTAGATCATTTAGATCACCTTATATACTGGTGTTTTTATGTGACTAAGTCCTAAAACTTGGTAGTATTAAGTATGCCTAGACTATGTCAACATTTGAGACTTTAATTATTCCACAGATCTATTTATTGGATTAAACTTTTTATTTCTAGGAAATAGCCATGCATAAAGAGGAATTTCATGTGAAATTTTTCATGTGTGTGATTCAGTCTCGCCGAGTAGTCAGGACTACTGAGAGCACAGGTATCATTAATTATGCTACAGTGACGGGGGACAGGTTTTCTTGGAGCTATACAGGATGAGAACTTCTGGTATAATTATAGACTTAAGGGGTGAACTGACCTATTTACTTCTATTCCTAGTTTGTGTTATTTCTTTTCTTTATAAGAGAGATGTTATCCTTATCCCAGACAAATAAGGAAGACTTGGGGAGTTGAGTCAGAATAAGATTTGTGGAACATGGGGTGGGTGTTGATTTCTATTTAATTTATGGATTATTCTAATCTGTCTGGGCTCATTTGTGGGAGTCCTTGTTGTTACTCTAATAGGAACCCCCAAATATGTAAGTCAAGGCCCAGAGAAAAGTGGTTTTCTACTCTAATCGGTAGTAATATGTTCTGCTTTGCCTCTGTTATTATCAAAGACTCGAATCTTCTGGAGGTAAACTAGTTATTTATTGAAAACAATCATCACTTCTTTTAATCTTTTTCACTGTATTTATGGAAAGGGAGGTTTTGCTAGCTAAGCCTCTTAGGCAAAATAAATGTGTAAAGAGCATCCTCTCCCTGAGTCCCACCCTGAGGGTGACCTACAGCTATTGCTTCTCAGATGAGGAAGCTTCAGCTTCCAACGTGATCATATCAACGCAACATCCAAAGACAGATCTCGTCAAGATACTAGAAACTGTGGATGAGCCAAACACCATGGGACCTGTTCTTGAAACTGGTGAGGCATGTGGGTAAACAATGTGGATGGGTGTGAAAAGAGGTATTGGATAGCAAAAGTTTTATTCATAGTATTATGAGTCACAGTAGGCCAAAGTTTAAATTTAAGACACAAGGGGGAAAGTGTGTATGGAGAGAGAGAGGAAGAGCGAGAGAAAAACTGTAGAAAGAAGAATAGTTCTTTTTCATTTCCTCAATATTTGTCTTACTTTTGTTTTTCTGTTGCTGTAACAAAATTACTCAAGGCTGAGTAATGTATAAAACAAAGAGATTTTGTTCACAGCTTAGGAAACTCGAAGCCCAAAAGTGGGCAACTTCTTTTGTTTGGCCTCTGCCAAGGATTCCCTTGGCTGAGCCACATCATAGCAAGATCCTAAGCAAGAAAGAGAGATCACGTAATGAAACAGAAGCCAGATAGTGGGGGAGGGGCCGGTTTGTCTATTTTGTAACATCTTTCTTTCACAAGAACTAACTGGGGTCCACAGGAACCCCATCCATTACTTCCCAGGTCAGTACCTCCAGTAACGTAATTACCTTCCACCAGACCCCACTCTCAAGATTTCACCTGTTCCTAACATTGCTGCACTGAATACCACATTTTCAACACATGAAACCTTGAGAGGTACACTCAAAATGTAGCACGAATCCTAATTGGTCTTAATGAAAAACCCGGAGCCAGATATGGGGGTAAATGCTGAAAGATCAGAGAGACAAAGGAACAAGCCACAGCCACCTCTCACCTCACCAACTCCTCGGCTGAAAAGATTGAGCTCCTTTCTCCTCCCGCCTTATATTCCTTTCTCCGCCCAGCCATATCTCTTCCTGCCTCTACCTCCCTTGTGCTGGAAGTAAAGTCATGAGATTCCAAGTGCTGGGAGCAAAGGTGTGTGCCACCACTGCCTGGCCTCTATGGCTAGCTAGTGGCTGGCTTTGCCCTCTGATCTTCAGGCAAGCTTTATTTGTTAGCGCATACACAAAATGTCATCAAATTATTTCCAGGCCATAGCGATGTTAAGTCATTTGACTACCATGTTCCTATAAACTATTTAATCTGACTTCCCTATTGTTAGTAAAATATAAATATAAAATATAAAAATGTTAAACTTCTACCTTTAATCTCAGCACTCATGGGTCAGAGGCAGGTGGATCTCTGTGAGTTCGAGACCAGCCTGGTCTACAGAGCAAATTCCAGGACAGCCAAAGCTACACAGAGAAACCCTGTCTTGAAAAAACAAAACAAGCAAGCAAAACAAAACAAAACAAAAAAAAAACTGGTGAAACTTCAATTAATAGATTAAATTAAAGAGTTATTATGTTACAAAATGATTCC